GAGTACTGTGGACTGCGGTTCTTCTGGTCTCCTGACCAGTCGGCGACACTATATTTCAATTTAAAAAAAGAAAGTGACACAGCATTCATCCCATCCTAAAATTATCATCAGAGGAAGGAAAACAATAACTAAAGAGAATGGTATAAAGAAACTTCCATTCAAGGCTTTTAAAGAACATAGTAGCCCCGAAAAAAGTTAGAACATTCCATACACACAATCGTTTACTGGATCCCGGGAGCTCTAATGGCTCCTCAAAGACAAGTCTCTCAGGAATAGCATCTCCTGATTATTTCTTCCTCCGCCCCCCACGAAGCTTTCCACTGGACAGCCGCCCCAGAAAATTCTCCCAGCATCCGCAATGACAATACCCTCATCCTCCTCTCCTCCCCTCGCCTGTATCAGACGGTGGCATCTCCCTCCAGAGGAAAAAAGGGAGGGCGGGGGAGGCAGGATAGGAGAGAAAGCTCGCAATGAGGCCGATTTTGAAGCAGGAGGAAGGTGAGAAGAAGCGGGGGGCCAGGGTGGGGTCCCCTCGGTTCCAGCCCTGTCTCTAGGAGGTCCGGCCAGCATCTCCCCACGCCGAGGGCACGCCCCTCGCCCGGCGGACCCGGACAAGCAGGCGGCTGACTCGAGTGACAGCCCCACCACCTGTGCCGCGCCCCCTCCCCCCCGGCCCGCGGGGAGACGCTGGCCCCTGCCCCACCAGCAACGGCCCCGGCCCTTTCTCCCCGCTTCGCAACCACGTTGCCGATGAGTGACAGGTCCCGGGGGAGGCGATCGCACGCGCATGCCGCTCCGGACGGCTGGTGCAACCCTCCGCCGAGGCCCTCCAGCAGGCACGGACGGGGTAGACAGAACGTTCCGGACGTCCCGGGGGGACCCGGTCAAGGCCCGGCCTGCCCCAGCTGCCCCACACCGGGCGGGGGTGGCACTTACTGCGGAGGTTGTGGATTAGCTCCGAGTGGCTGGCGCCGCCGGATTTCCAGGCCATCGCTAAGCACACCCGGAGCAGGTACAGGACTACCTTCAGCGCGGCGACGGTGCCCAACAGCTTCCCCAAGAGTGAGAACACCTCCCACACGGTCACCGCCCTGCTCGCGTCCCCGCTGTAGCCGCCGCTGTGATTGCCGTCGCCGCCGCTACCGCTGCCGCCACTGCGCGCTCCCGGCATCCCCTGCGGCGCGCATGCGCTCTGTGACGCCGCGCGGACTCGGGCGCGGCCGGGTGGGGCGAGAGGCGGGGGTGGCCTCGTGCCGCGCCGCCCGCGCCAGTGGCCGCTGCGGCTGCTTGGGGACCGGCCGGGAGGCCGGGCTGAGTCAGCACCGCCGCCGCTGCGTACCCCTTTCAGGGCTTCGGGCTGCGCACCGCCTCCGCCTCCTTGCCGGGTTCTCCCTGCGGCCAGGCAGGGTGGGCCCAAGCGTGGTGCGTCGCGTGCCTGGCTGCGGCTCCGATCACCGAGCGAGGCGGCAGGATGGCGGGGCCGATCTGGTTCCGCCGCTGCCGGTGGCTCCGCAGTGGCGTCGTGTCAGCTGTTGCGAGCCGCGGGTCTGCTCCTATAGCTGTCCAGATTGTTAGACGGTGGGCTTCCTCCGTCCTGCCTCACCCAACCCAGTTGACTAATACATAGGTCGGTTACCGTTTGAGCTCCCTATGGTGGAACCTGGTTAATCTTAATAGAACCCTCTCTAACCCGAGTACTCTAGCCTCTGGCTTTGTGACAAGTCCATCAGTGTTAGGTTAGCAGATACCTTGGGACCCTGGTTTGTTCTCAACTCTAAAGCTCAAATGCATAGAATGGAAGAATACCATGAAATGGAGGTAGGGTGGAGCGTGGGGAATGCTGCTCAGAACAATGCAGTTGGTTAAAAATACCACAGTATCGTATGGCGAATGTGTTATTCTCCCAGCACAAGTGTGCGTTTTCAGCTAATTAAGCATCACAAATTCCACCGTTAGATTGGACACCAGCTTTATTGCTATTAGCTGTGCAAGACAATGAGCGAGAAGCTGACAGGGAGCATTGCCTGTCGCATCGAACTTGCTGACTCCTAATCAGAACTGAGACCGTCAGAATCCAGTCATCATTTAGTCCAATAAACTTTTAAGGAAGGAAACAAAGCTATGCCAAGACATCTGTGCTACTGAGTCAGCAGCATTTTTCAAATGCTAGTTCTCACCAGATTTTGTCAAATACTCAGCCTACTTCTAATCCGAAATATACATTACCTATTTCTGGATTTTGTGACCATAAACGAAACCACACTCAACACAGTGTTCTTTTTTTTTTCCTGTGAAGTTTTTTTAAACCTTACAGGTTGGATTAGAGCACTCCCTCTGGGTCCCTAGAAGTCTTCTCCAGGCTGGGAGCTTAGGGGGTCTGCTGCCTCCCAGGGTCCCTGGCCTGGCCCTACAGGCACACAGTCATCAAGAAGTGCTTGGGGGACGTGAGCTGTTTAGACATTCCTCTGCTGAGTATAAAGCGGGCACTTGCTCCATTAATGCCTGCTGGCTGGTGGCTACCACAGGACCCCCATCTTCCCCACTCCCACCCTCAAGGCTTCATAATCCTGCCACTGCAGGTTCCTATCACAAGCCACAGGGTCCTTAAAAGTCATCCTTATCGCAGATGTCAAGATACACATCGAAAGCCTCTCTGTTGCAGTTTCCATCAGGAGGAAAGACTTATCTACACAGATGGGCGGAGCGGCAGTTGAGGCGGGTATCTTTGAAAGCAGAGTCGTCACTGCTGAAGTTAACACGATAGAGGATGGCAGGGTTAGTGCCTCTGCGCAGCTCCACCCAGTTTCTCCTTGGACTGCGGGTCAGAAAGGCGAATAAGGGTGCCCTTATGGAAGGCGGAGGCCACTGCGGTGCCTGGCTAGTTCAGGGATGGTTAATGGAGAAAATGAAGTTCCGGGCTTCGTACTCGCCAGGTCCACAAGTTGCAGACTCTCGCACTTGTGCCCTAGGAACACTAGCTGTTGTTTCTCCAGGCTGGGGCAGAGGTCACAGAGCCCCCTGGGGTTGTCCCAGGTGTCAAATTCAAACAGCTTTTGGGTCTTGTCGGAGGAGGAGTACAAAGAGATGGAGCGTGATTTTTGTCATGGCGCATGCGCACAGCCACCACCGACTTGGTGAGGGTGAACTCCAGCACCAGCTCTTCCTGGGAGTCCTTGGCTTCCGGGCATTGTCCCAGATCAGCACTGAGATCTCTAAGAACTTGGGGCTGCTACCCCCGCCCATCAGGGCCAGCAGGTTGGAGCGGTGCAGCATTTCAACCAGGCCCATGCTGTCCACCTGCTCATGGCCCAGATGTCCTTTCTCCATCAATGGCTCCACGCTGTAGATGCGCGCCCCTGTTTCCATGGCACAGGAAAAACACCTTTGGTCTTGGTTAAAACGCAGGCTGCTCACTCCTCCAAGTAGTTGCCGAGTCATGGTCCAGGATTGCTTTCCTGACCTCCACGTGTCCCCAATCCCAGCCCAGATTCTTGGTGCCGCCCGCCACCCCACTTTCTGACTTTGTGGGAAAACAGCGTTCTTTATTTCAATATTGGGAACAAAATTGTCATTTTGAGACTCTCATAGTTTTCCATTTCATCTCTCTGCCGTGTCCTGATGGTCTTTCAGTTAAAAACAAAAACAGAACAAAACCAGTAAGTCCTCAGTAAGGTAACTCTCTAAAACTGACTTAGACGGATTACATTTACATGTGGTGCTTCCACAAGCTGTGGTTGTGAAATAAAACTACCAATGTCAGATAAAAAGAACAACAACAACAAAACATCATGGCCTCTTTTAAAGAAACGACCAATACAGTTATGAATATAGTGTAAAGGAGGTTTTTGAAAAAGATGAATGTCATAATTCTTGTATGCAATAGGATTTACATTCTAATTAGGGAGATCAGCATCCAAAGAAAACTAGCGACAGAAGGCAAAATATAACGCTATTAGTGGTCTAGGTATCAAGTGCTATGTTTATTTAGATTGTCATGGGCTGGAGTAATCAGGAAAAGATACCAGAAGGAACTGGTCTTTGAAGGATGGGCAGGATTCTGAGAAGGAGAGAGGAATAAAAGGATGTTATAGGGGTAACAGAAAGCAGAGAAGAAGGAACCTGGAGCTCTGCTTCCTAGGCTATCCATGTTACATATCAAACTCATTCTTAATTATATACATAAATAAATTGTGGAAGGTTTCACAACTAGGCAATGGGAGTCCAAATTTGAACTGGAGGGGCTGCCTGGTGGCTAGTGGTTAAGTTTGCACTCTCTGCTTCAGTGGACTGGAGTTCATGGGTTCAGATCCCAGGCGAGGACATACACATCACTCATCAAGCCATGCTGTGGCAGAGTCCCACATACAAAATAAAGGAAGATTGACATGGATGTTAGCTCAGCAACAATCTTCCTCAAGCAAAAAGTGGAAGATTGGCAAGAGATGTTAGCTCGGGGCCAGTCTTCCTCACCAAAAAAAAGCCACCAAAAAACAAAAAAAAAAACGCTAGAACTGGAGTCTTGAGAATTCCAACTCCAGGCTCTGACAGTGTATTAACAACTTTGAAGCAAAGGATTTGTTTGAGGGACAAAGAGGGAGAGGTTTAGAATATAAGTTGGTGCGTTAATGGACATACTTCCTTGAGAATTTAAGGATTTCGAATCTTTTCTATGCTCAGTGAAATGCAAAACAATGCTTAGGTGTGGCTACTAGGTGGCTGCTCTTGCATTGTTTTATTTTTGCTTTTAAACTTGTTTTACATTGCACATTTATTGCAAAAATGCATTGTCTCAGTGTTGCTATACTGATTTTGCGCATTAGGAGCAGATCCTACAGCACAAGGCCCTCACACTCTTGCCTTTGGTCAGGGCCACCGCGGTGAAGAAGGGCATCCCAATTCCTCGCGTTTGGGGGCTGGTAGCGCCCGCACTGCCGACGGAGGAGAATTGGCTCTCCGCGGCCACCGTCCGCCTCGTCAGGTCCGGGCCAATCCGGGCTCCACGGGAAGGAGCGGGGCTGCGAGGAGCGGGGCTGCGAGGCGCGCGCCGTGCTGGTTGCGGTACCTGCTCGCGTTGCTCTTGGCATGGAGGAAATCTACGCCAAGTTTGTGTCTCAGAAAATCAGCAAAACCCGCTGGCGGCCGGTGCCTGCGGGGAGCCTGCAGACTGCGGACACCTTCGCTACGGGCTCTTGGGACAATGAGGTACCCCCGCTCCCGGGCCGGGGAGCCCCTGCCTCCTCCTCCCGGTCTCCTGGAATCAGCGCGCCAGCTCCCTCGCCTTCCAGCTCCTCTCGCTCTTTTCTGCCCCTCGAGTCCCTGTCTCGGTTGCCCGGTACCGCCGAGCCATCGACGGTGTGCCTAAGCCTCCAGTTTTGTGTTTTGAAGGCACCGTATCTTTTGTCTGAGATGCTTTTAAAGCAAGGCTTGAAGGCAATACAAATTGTAATTTCCGAGAGGTTAACGTATATTTCAGCTCAAGATAAAACTTTCTGCTTTGCAGGAAAATCGTGTTTCACTGTGGTCTATTGGAGATTTTGGGAACTTGGATTCTGATGGAGGGTTTGAAGGAGACCATCAGTTATTGTGCGATATCAAACACCATGGTGATGTGATGGACTTACAGGTAAGTCTGCGTAATATCCAAAAGCTAAGTTTTTAAAGACTGAAAGTAATATCTTAAAGGATGCAAAGAATCATAAAGGCTGTCTAGACTCACCCTGGGTTTACAGGAAAACTGAGATCTCTGTTGGTTATAGTTTGCCAACATCATGGCAGAATCAGGACTGGGGAAGAGGATGTAGATTTAATCCTAGTCTTTTAATCCTGGTTTTTGTTGTTGTTTTTTAATTAATTGATTGTCTGCTATGTGCCAAGCACTATTTGGGGAGCTTTACATAAGTTAGAGAGCTTTACATAAGTTAATTTGATTCTCATCACATGCTTATGAATCAAGTATTGTTATCTCTGTTTTATCAATAAGGAAACAGATTAAGATCTCTTGAGCATGTACTATGTGAGAAATGCTGTACAAGGCAGTTTACACGGTTTTGCTTTTTGAATTCTTATAACAACTCCCTAAGTAGGGATTAGTTCTCTCATTTTAAAGGTTTGCCAAGGCTTAGAGAACTTAACTAGGCCGCAGTCTCAAAGTTAGCAGTAAGTATTGAGAATGGAATTAAATTTTTAAATCCTGGTCCGTATAGCTTCAAACTCCGTGCATTTTATTCTGTAGAAAGCTGCCTAACTTTAGAATGATACTTTTCTAAACCTTTATGGTAGTGGTCCAAAATTAAGTCAATTATAGGTGAATGAATTTAGGGAAAAAATTATTTATTCTTTACGAAAATGCTTTTATTTGTATATAAGTTTTGACTTTCAGATCTATCATCCGATTTTATTTATAGGCTCTTTGCATTTTAAAATCGTTCTGCTGCTAATTGAATTAAACAAATGGGTTTTCTCCCTGCTACTGTTTCTGAATCTATAACAAGTGGGAATTTTCTATTTAGTTCTTTGACCAGGAAAGGATTGTAGCTGCTTCATCAACAGGATCTGTAACACTTTTCCTTCACCATCCAAATAACCAGGTAAAGAACTTTTGTTTGAAAACTGAATTTGTATTTTAATTATTTTTAGGAAGGCTTAAAGAAAACTGTACTTAATAATGACACAAATAAAAAGTTTTGTAGTCTCAAAACATGATGGGGGAAAATATTACCCATCGTTTAATACATTAATTCAAGAACCGTGTTTGTGTGAGCTTTTATTGAAATTGGGTATCTCTTAAATAAATTCTGTTAGTTTAGACCTAGTAAGACGGTATTCTGGCAAGCGATTTTCCTGTAATTCTCTCTTTTAAGTTTCTATTCTATTCTTTCGAAAAAAGGAAGAGCACCTTCTAGCTCAGGTATCATGAGAGAGAATATAAACAGCTTCTTTGTGTCTGTGGATAGAACCTGGGTTTTAATTAGAAGAGAGGATATACTGTATGAAGACTTGGCCATTTTTTCAATGCCTTTCTTATGTGCAAAAGCCCACGAGTGCTGACCTTCAAAGCATAGTGGAGAGGGCAGTTCTTTAAAATAGCCCCGCTTGTGGTAACACTTTTAAGTTGCTGGAAGAGAGTGCTTATTTAGACTTTGGGATTAATAAAGGTCCCCTTGCGAATAGGCGTGCAGAGTAAATATAAGACCCAGGTCTTGTTAAGTGTTTTTCTTAAAGGAGTCTTTTAGAAAGTGTAGAGATTTATTTTTTAGATGTAGGCTAATTCCCTTAAGAATTTAGAGTTACTTTTGAACAAATAACTCCCTGAGGCCTAAAACCCGTTTCTTTGGTTTGATGTAAATGTGGAACTTTATTGAGCAGCATTCCTTTTGAATCGTGATCCAGTGTATGCAGAGCTTTGAGGGGAGTAGTTCTAGACTTAATGACTTGGAATTACAAACGAAAAAGAGAGTTGTTCTTTTTCTAGAAGGGTGTGAGACAGAATTTAAAAATACTCTAGTTGGGGAAAAGTGCTACTTTTTAGAGCTTTGTTTTGATTAATCACGTGCTGCTTTCTGACACTTAGACTCTTTCAGTCGGCCAGCAGTGGACAGCAGCTCACTACCACACAAGCCCGGGCAGCCTTTCCTGTCGCAGTGCACCGTGCACGGGTGTTGTGTGCAGCAACCCAGAAATCGTCACAGTTGGAGAAGATGGTCGGATAAATCTCTTCAGAGCTGATCACAAGGAAGCTGTGAGAACCATAGGTGAGAGAAACTGTTATATTTCTTTCGTCTGTCATATAGTAACTGAACACCTGCCATGTGCTCTGTAAACACAATGCTAGGTGTTTGAGGGATATAAAAATACACAGAGCAGGATCCCTGTATCACGACGGCATGCTGATAAGGCCTGTGTGAATAAGTGGCTGCAGAGGAGAGAGAAACTTTTTTTTTTGACTGGAGGCAATTGTTGAATAAAGAATTGAGGGACAGGGGCTGGCCCTGTGGCCGAGTGGTTAAGTTCGCCTGCAGGCGGCCCAGTGTTTCGTTGGTTCGAATCCTGGGTGCGGACATGGCACTGCTCATCCAGCCATGCTGAGGCAGCGTCCCACATGCCACAACTAGAGGGACCCACAACGAAGAATATACAACTATGTATTGGGGGGCTTTGGGGAGAAAAAGGAAAAAATAAAATCTTTAAAAAAAAAAAAAGAATTGAGGGACAGATGACAATTAATTTAATCTACGTTTTGGACCATAAGTAATACTAAAAGATGGCACACAAGACAAAGGGAATAGCGTGGAGGCAGAGTAAGGCCATTTAGAGAATGACAGAAAGTGCCGTTTGAGGAAGATTAGCCCAGAGCTAACATCTGCTGCCAATCCTTCTCCTTTTGCGGTGGAAGCCTGGCCCTGTGCTCACATCCATGCCCATCTTCCTTTATACGTGGGATGCCTCCCACAGCGTGGCTTGCCAAGTGGTGCCATGTCCGCACCCAAGATCCAAATCAGCAAACCCCGGGCCGCCGAAGTGGAACCTGCACACTTAACCGCTGTGCCGCTGGGCCAGCCCCAAGCCTGGGGAAATTTTTAACAGTCCACCACCCTGGACCTCCTAAATCAGAACCTCTATGGATTGAGCCCATAAATCAGTGTTTTGTGTTGTTTATTATGATTTTTAGTTCTGAGGGACACCACTTGTTTAATTGTTAAGGACCATCGCCTGGTGGCAGTTTGGAGGGGTGTCACAAAACAAAAGTCCCTAAGTATATGCTAAGTTATGAGGTATACGCTCTAAACACTCTAGGAAAAAAGAAAAGGACCATTATAGCAATCAGGAAGGACTTCGTGGAGGAGGAGAGAATTAATGAGAGTAAAGGTGGTAGATTTGAGATGAGTCAGCAGAATACTGCAAGGGCAGAGTGAACTGTGGAGGAAGCACTGGGGTTTGGCCCAGTAGAGTGGAGTTTCTGGGTTCAGGGATGGTGGAACATAAAATTGGATATAGACGAGTTTGAGTAGCTGTCTCAAAGCGTGAAGGTAACCTTAAGTGGAAACAGAGAAATATGTGAAAACTCAGCCCTCTATTTGGAAAGCAGTTCAGACGTCCTGTGAGTGATACTGTTTTTCTATCAAGGGAGAGTCCATTTTAACAACTATATTGCTGTGCATTTTTCTGTAGAAATTAAGCTGTGACTTGTTTAAAATTTCATTTGTAATATTTCAATCAATAGAAGGAATGTGACTTGAGATTTTCATGGAAAGGGCGGCCCATTAACACGCACTGCTGTTTTCTTGATTTGTAGACAATGCAGATAGCAGCACGCTCCATGCTGTGACCTTCCTTCGAACTCCAGAGATTCTTACAGTTAATTCAATTGGACAGTTAAAAATATGGGATTTCAGACAACAAGGAAATGAGCCCTCTCAGATTTTATCACTGTGAGTTTTGATTTGTAATTTTAGTGGTGTAATGCAAAATTAATTTGTTCAATTGTCTATAGCAACTGACTTTAAACCATGTTGTATTGTAATTGCATTTTAAGAGAGTGATCCCTGATTAAGTTTGATAAAGCAAGTATGATTTGATGGGCTTGATACTACCATGCTGCATTTAGTAAATATTTGTTGTATTGATTCAGAGCCTCCATCTCTTTGAAGTTTATATTATTCAGCAGGGAACTAACTTTTGCCATCAGATGATTCTGTCAATAGTGGGTATAATATACTCTAGAGGTGATTGGGAGAAAAATACAATTCAAGATATTTTTTATGAGCAGAAATCCCCATTCTATGTGTGCAACCTTCTCTAAGAAGAAAATAGAATGTGTCAAACTGAAAAAATAATTGTATAAACTAAGCATTAAATTGGAAGTAAAGAATATGCTGTTTTGCTGACATGTAATGTTTTTAAAAAGCCAAGAAATGGAAATGTGCTTTGCACATCTTACAAATTATCTTGCTCCCTGTCTCCAAATTGAAGAGAGGATGAATAACTTTTGCCTTTAATTCCCTCCCAAATTGTAATATTTAAAAATATGTTTGATGTAGTCAATTTTTGACATGATTTAAGTTTAGCCATTAGCTCCAGCCACAAAGTTATCATTTAGTTACTAGAATGAAACATGTTTCTTGGATTATGGAAAGCTAAATTATACTTTACAACACGTTTGATGTCACTGTGTTTTCCATAAAAGGACTGGTGACCGAGTACCACTCCACTGTGTTGATCGACATCCCAACCAGCAGCACGTTGTAGCTACTGGGGGCCAGGATGGAATGTTGAGTATTTGGGACGTTAGACAAGGTACTATGCCCGTGTCTCTGCTGAAGGCCCATGAAGCTGAAAGTAAGTATCGGGGACATATATAAGTGTGTGTTGGTTAGTTATATGATTATTGTAAGCAGCTTTCCATTACGATACATATGGATCATTTTACATCAGCTTTTGGCTGAATTGTATAAATTTGTAATAAATAAGTAACCCCTTTTTGACATTTAAGTTCTTTAACATGTTTCATTATTAAAAACCACAGTGATTATCCTTATATGTTCATTTTTATACACTTAATTTTCTTAGGATAATGTTTTAGAAGAATTGATGAGCTGAAATGTTTGCATAATTTTAAAGCTGTGATACTTGTCAAATTGTTCTACATAAAAACAGTACCAGTTTATATGGCCATACTCAGTACATGAAAATGCCTTTTCCTGTGTAAATGCAGGCTGTTGTTTTTAATATTTACCAATCTGTGTTCCTCAATTTGTTATTGTACCTTTTTTTTTCTTTTAACAAGAATAGATACAGGCTCTTGTTTTGTTGTTTGTTATGTCTGTCTTTTGGTTTTGGTGGGCATTTTTTGGCCAAAATTTTTCATTTTATCACTGCTGTCTTTGATATCATTGCCAAAGTAGATTATAGTTTTAAATTCTGACTTAAGATAAGTTCGTATTGAACCCTGCTTGAATAAAAGTACAAAAGAACAAACATTATACTTGTATTGCAACTCCTCAGTTTAAGTAAATTTCACATTATTACCTTGGAAAGACAAATGACTTTTAAGATTATATGTTAAGAAACAAATAAAAGGATAGAATTTGGTTTTGCCTCTTCCAGTTATAGCTATGCCCAGAAAAAAGAGAAGAAAAAGGAATGGAGTATGCCCTCCTAGAGCCTGACGTTGGGCACCCAGCGGCAGTAGAATTCCAGACTTGGAGACTCTTCTCACCACCCCCTTTTTAACTGCCAGCCTGTGTTGTTAAGCAATACACACAGATGTCATGGATTGTAATGTATTATTTTGAATTCATCTTGACTTTTGGCTAGAAATGAAAGATGTTTTGGGGGCCGGCTCTGTGGCCGAGTGGTTAAGTTCGCGCACTCCGCTGCAGTGGCCCAGGGTTCAGATCCTGGGTGCGGACATGGCACCGCTTGTCAGGCCATGTTGAGGCAGCGTCCCACATCCCACAACTAGAAGGACCTGCGACTAAGATATACAACTATGTACCGGGGTTGGGGGGTGGGGGGGAGATGGGAAATAAAGCTGGAAAAAAAAAAAAAAAAAAGATTGGCAACAGCTGTTAGCCCAGGTGCCAATCCTTAAAAAAAAAAGGGGAAGATGGGCAACAGCTGTTAGCCCAGGTGCCAATCTTAAAAAAAAAAAGGGGAAGATGGGCAACAGCTGTTAGCCCAGGTGCCAATCTTAAAAGAAAAAAAGTGTTGAAACAAAACAAAAAAAAGAAAGATGTTTTGTAGAGGTTTGTTTTCTAATTTGGAAATAAATACTTAAGAAGCTAGATTTGGGCAGTCTGCTTGTGCTCTCCGGGCTGTTCTGTTTCACTTTGTTTTAATGAAACAGTGTGAATGTACTTTATACAGGGACTCACCCAGAATACATTCCTCTCCTCCTGTGGAAGGTGACCTTTTAGTGTTTTGTGGCACGATGTTCAGTTGTGGTAACTGTCAGAATGAAAATTGCCAGCTTGCAAACATGTGCCTTGTGCTTTTTATGCTGGACCCCAGGCACTTTCTCTGCTGCCTCTTTAAGGTCACCCAGAACCTCAGAACCCTTGTTCCCAGACTGCCTGTTTTGTCTGCATGCTGCAGATAACTTCCTAAGGCGGCCTGGCCAGTCATTGGCTCCCAGATGTCTAATGACACACAGAGTTCCCTTCAAGTTTAGAGCTTGAGGGGTCCTCAATCCCAAATTTGCTTCTTAAAAGCCTTCCATCTGAAACTGGATCCAGGTTCTTGGAGCATTGCCAGGTTTTGCTTTGCTCGGAGCTAGTTGCTATTTCTGTGACATAGACCAGAAGTATCTGGAGTCCTGGCATGAGCCCAAGTTGGACTCTGCCTCTTAGAAATTCATTTGTATATTACTTTTATGGTCTCTGTCTTTTCAATAATATGACCTTCATTCAGTAATGACACAGGATTTGAAAATAAGAGAACTTACCAATTTTTTTCTTTTCAGAATTACCCCATTGTTATGCTTTTCCGTAAAAAGAAAAAAATGTAATAGGGGGCCGGCCTGGTCAGGTACTGATTAAGTTCATACGCTCTGCTTCAGCAGCCCAGGGTTCACCAGTTCAGATCCTGGGTGTGGACCTACACACCGCCCATCAAGCCATGTTGTGGCGGTGTCCCACGTACAAAATAAAGGAAGATTGATACAGATGTTAGCTCAGCGACAGTCTTCCTCAAGCAGAAGGGGGAAGATTGGCAACAGATGTTAGCTCAGCAACAATCTTCCTCAAGCAGAAGGGGGAAGATTGGCAACAGATGTTAGCTCAGGGCCAGTCGTCCTCACCAAAAACAAATGAGATAGATCAAACATCAGCATTTATTTTCATTCATTTGCTGGCCCAATACACAAGTAGATTTACTTGGCGTCTTTCTTTTCTTCGTTTTGGTGAGGAAGAGTGGCCCTGAGCTACCATTTCTTCCCAGTCTTGCTCTTTTTACTTGAGGAAGATTGTCACTGAGCTAACATCCATGCCAACCTCCCTCTATGTTATGTGGGATGCCGCCACAGCATGGCCTAACAAGTGGTACTAGGTCCATGCCCAGGATCTGAACCCATAAACCCCAGGCTGCCAAAGCGGAGCACACAAACCTAACCACTGTGCCACCGCGCCAGCTCCTACTTGCTTTCTTTATCTTATTTCATGTTACAGCCTTTTGGAGAGTTAATATTATGTTTTTTCTTTAATTCTCAAGTCTTTGATTTTATCACGGACTTGCGGTTTGAAGGTGTGTGGTGGAGGTTAATGGAAGATGACGCCTAGAGACAGAGTTTTCATGTTTGTTCGACTCCTCTACACAGGAATGAGCGTCTTGGTTCTTCTCTTGCAGTGTGGGAAGTTCACTTCCACCCATCCAATCCAGATCACCTCTTTACTTGTTCTGAAGATGGGTCCCTCTGGCACTGGGACGCCTCCACAGACGCACCTGAAAAGTCATCACTCTTTCACGAAGGTAAAAGTTTTAATAAAGATTCTTATGTGTAACTTTATAATACGTTCAAATACCAAAGTAGAGATTCTCAGATTTTTTTTTTCCTTTTTCTCCCCAAAGCCCCCCAGTACATAGTTGTGTATTTTTAGTTGTGGGTCCTTCTAGTTCTGGCATGTGGGACACCACCTCAGTGTGGCCTGATGAGCGGTGCCATGTCTGTGCCCAGGATCCGAACTAGTGAAACGATGGGCCACCAAAGTGGAGCGTGTGAACTTAACCACTTGGCCATGGGGCCAGCCCCTCAGATTTTTAACATTAAGGAATGGCACAAGGTTTCCATTGTCCTGTTTTAGGGTCAATTCTAGTATCATAGGGCTTGAAATCTGTCAGCCTCTTACTGCTGTACTGCTAATGACTGGAAATGCTGTGCGCTGGCTGACTTCACACAGCCAGGGGCTTGTTGGGAGCGCATTGTCGTGGGCCCTCTGCTGTAGGACAGGTGTTGACAGCTCTTTTCTATTACATTGCCGAGGGTGAGTGGCAAGACAAAAGCTGATCTTTTATGTATTAAGGTATAGGGTTTTCTTCAGACTAGAAGGCCCTGTCTCCTGATTAGAGACAGAGGTAATAAAGGTCGGCCAGAAACTACACTTAGAATCAAGGGGTGTTTTTGTTTTTGGCATTTTCTAAGCTTCCTGTTTTTGAGTTTGTCTGTGGTTCCAAAGTTCTTTTGTTCATTCATGCAGCAAATGTGGATCAAATGCCCACCATGTGCTAGGCGCCCTTCTGGGGCTGGAGCCTACCACAATGAGCAGAACAAAAAGTCTCTACACACTCAGAGCACGTATTCCAGCAGGCAGTAAATAAGTAGATAATGTCTCAGTGAAAGTCCAATCAGAAAAACAGAAACTGCCCTAGATTTAGAAGGAATTGGTTTCACTGTGGTAGAAGGGCTAGAAGAATGAACGGGCGTAGGGGGGATGCTGGAAGAGCAAAGAAGAAGAAGAAGTAATGCCCAGAAATCAAAAACTGTTCATATCTCTGCGGCTGCACAGTAGGAAGTGCTGTCAGAGTAGGTTCTGGATCAACAGGAAAGGTGCCACCTCAGCCAGGGCTGGAGTTACTGCGGTGATGTGGTTGCCAGAAACCTGGAGCTTCGCCCCTCGTCCGCCTTCCACTCACCCACAGTAGTACCTCCCGTTGGCAGGGGCCACCTGGAAGGCAGATGGCAAGGGAGGCTGGAAATGGAATTTGTTCCTACAGTAAAGCACAGAAAAGTGGAAAAGGGGACTGAGCGCGAAAAGGAAAAGAACTGGGCCAATACCCGGTGACTGAGGAACAGAGTAGGAGGATAAAGAATGAAGGGGGGAGGGGCTGCTTGGTGGAGATAGCATTTGAGCAGAGACCTGAGAGGAGTGGAGGTATGAGTCCCGTGAAAGCCTTCCCGGCAGAGGCAACGCAAATACTGCGGGTCTGAGACAGGCAGAGAAAGGCAAGGAGGCCAGCATGGCTGCAGGTAATGAGCAGGCTCAGGGAGTGGTAGGAGGTAGGGAGCTGAGGAACAGGACTCAGGAGACCATGATGAGGACTTCAGACTTAATTCTAAGTGTGGCAGAAAACCATTGGAGAATTTTGACCAGGGGAGTGGCGTGATCTGCCTTATGTTCCCAAAGGATCACTGGCTGCTGTGGGGTAAATGGACTATGGGGAGGCACGGTAAAAGTGGAAGCAGGGGACCAGGGAGGAGATTAGCACAGCAGTTCTAACAATATTCAAGAGTAACGTGAAATAGAGGAGCTGTAAAAGATAAACAGAAAACTCAGGGAAAAATCTAGAACTTCTCCAGGAAAACTGTGGAGAAGTATGGACCGTGTAGAGCATGTAGCATGTTTCTGCCAGCTTCACTTAGGGAGAAACTAACAATTTTATCTAAGGATTAACTAAATCCTTGTTTTTTATTTGCTTCCTCCTCTACCGCCACTGTCTTACATTTGAAATTTTGCTGTTTGAAGAACCTTGGTTAGACTGGAAATAAAACCATTTACTATATTCTGCGTCTAGTATTATAAGGCATAGTATTAGACACTTTGAAAAGGTAAATATGGACTCCCACCTGCTCTTAAAATAATACTTAATTTAGTTATGGAGAAGGGGCGTGGACAGTTAAATCATAAACAAAATGTTACCAGGTAGTAAATTAGTGGTACATACAAGTGCTGAGGATTCCAGGAAGGAAGAGAGGAGCCTGAACTAGGGTCGTCTTCAAAGGCTTCTTAGAGAAGGCGGTTGAGCTGGGCTTTCAAGAATCCACGAGATTTAAACCCACTAGTCTTTAAGCTTCCAGACATCAGGGACTTCCCCTTGTATTCCCAGCACTTATCACAGAACCTGGCACATAGTTGGCACCCAACCATTTATTGAATAAATGAAGTCTGTCCTTATTTGCTCTGGCAGAGAGTTGAGAGGAAGGAAAATTGTAAATAATAGCTTAAACTGAAACATACTGCTTCTGCTTTAATTCTCTGTTAAATGCAGAGCACTGTTAGAGATAAAAATTTATATAATCTGGTAATGTTCTAAAATTCTACTTTTAAGAACATCTAAAATAAAAGGTAAGAATAAAAGGATATCTAAAGCAGGTTGATTATATTTTTAGAAATATAAAATGTATTTTTAGAAATATTCACCTAGAAATGTGTGCAGAAATTCTCATGATCACTTGATTTTTAATCGCCTAAGAGCTTATATTTCTGTGTTATCTACATTTTTAGTTTCTTTTTTCCTTACTTATTCTGCTTGTCTTCTGGCCATTTTGCTACACTTCTGAGACATTCCATTAAAGAATGAACAAAAAGACAGGGTCAGAATCTTCTGCTTTGCCTGAACACTTCAAATTTGATATCCATATTATCCCATGGAAATTTGAGTGTTTAATATCACTGAACAAGCCTTTAGTCAAAAATGGTGATATGTAATAGTGGAATTATCAGTCTGTTATTCTGAGAATTAAACAAGTTTGACTCATTGCCTTTTTAAAATATCAGTAGAATTTCAGATGTTTACTAGTATAAAATTAATCTTCAAAGATTTTTTTTCCCTTTTCTTTTCTCCCAGGAGGAAGAAGTAGTATTTTTTTGTTTCACAGCATTAGTAACCAGGCTAATGTTCACCAGTCTGTCATAAGCTCCTGGCTCAGCACTGATCCTGCAAAAGACCGTATTGAAATCACAAGCTTGCTTCCCAATAGGACTTTGTCTGTGAACAGTTTGGATGTTTTGGGTCCTTGCCTTGTTTGTGGAACCGACGCAGAAGCAATTTATGTTACTAGACAACTATTTTCATGAAAATACTATAATTATAAGATGTCAGGTAAAAACATACCGTTAACCTTTCAAATGCCAACTTCTATGCAAATTTTTATTATTGGAAAATGTGAAATTTGCAAGGGAAGCATCAGTAAACTGTTGTTAATGTCAATGCCCAGTTTCAGATTTTATTAGTTGGCTCTTCCCCTAAGAGTTGCAGAATCTGATCGATGACTGATAGCAGGAGGGTTGCAACACGCGGAAGATGCTTGTGCTGATGAATACGCTGCTGTCACACAGACTCTGGACAGCTCGTGGGACTTAGTCTTCATTTTTGGTGTTGTGAGACACTGTCAAACACCAAGGGGTTCCTGTCCTTTCCATCGACAGTATGTGAGGCATGACCTATACCCTTCCCTGGTGGCATTAGCCAGTGTTAATGTTTGTTCTTTTTATGGCAAGTATTTTCTTCAATCCTTCCATATTTTATTTCCTTAATAGTTTTAATAAACTTTTTCAGAAAGAATTGAGGAGTACAAAAATGGTGAATTTTTTTGTGTTCACATTTTTTTCAAGGTGAAGATGTTTTGACAGGTGCCTTTATTAGACTAAGTTTGAACAGAACTCTGTGAACTACTTACACCCAACTTTATTTTTCTTGAAAAGAAAAAAGAAAAATTCATTTTTGCTAAGGATTTTTGCTTTTGTTTAGTTTTACAGTGTAGTTGAAAATTGCCAAACTGGACATTGTGCAATAAAATAGAATTTGACATTGATAAGTGAGCCAACTTAAAAATTAAAAATTTGATAGGTAACATGTATGAGACTAGTATGATGTAGTAAGACTATAGAATTCTGCCATCTTTATCCTTATCCAGAACGTTAATGATGACTTAATATGTAGTGTTTTAAGACACTTTATGACGTCGTCTTTCCAGAGCTGCTTCGATTGAATGCATTATTGAACTAAGGCCTTAATGACAAGTCACTGCTATAACACAGTTGAAGTGTTGGTTCATTTACTTTAGAATTCCAATCATAGTAATTATGGTAAAATTTTCCTTTTCTGTCCTAATAAATATTTTCAATTTTTTATGCCACCTTATCTCAGGCTTTTTTGATCTTTGGTTTTTTGTCAACATTTTTAAATGGACTACGTATATGCATCTGCTTTTTTATATATATGTGACTCAAGAATATTTGATTAAAGATAATTAGTAACTTTGAATTCCAAAGAATCAGAGGAGGAAAGAAAATGTTGCTGATAGGAGTTTTTAATCTGTTTATAGTTTTAGTGCTGGGACTAATTTTTAAGACTTTCTGTTATTACAAAAGTAATTCATTACAGGAAAAAAACAGATACAGTCAAAAGAAAATTTTTAAATACTTATAATCTCAAACAGACAATAGTCTTTTCATAGCCTTTTTTATACATCAACGTATATAATTTTTTTTGTAAAAATGAAATATATCATACATATTATATGTGTGGATGCGCATCCCCTAGCAGTAAACACATGGATTCAGTAAGAAAAACAGCTATGAATTTTTCTTTGACTTTCTGTTTCCTTCGTGCGAATGTCTTGCTGCAGCCTAAGCTGCAGTGCCCCTCCCTTCAGCCAGTACAGGCCCTAACAGTCAGCAGGCTAACATCCTTGTGAGTGCGCCCAGAGTTGCTCTCACTCCTGGAAGACCCTAGCTCCCAGGTGGCACATTTTCCATGTATGGTGAATAGTAATCTTGTTGTGCCTCTGTGTTCATCTGCGTTATCTGCTGCTGAAAAGTTTGAAGGTTTCATACATGTCGTCAGCACCCTTCTCGGTTTCCAGCAGCAATGTATACAGTTTCCTTTGATCATTCTAGTCAGCATTGATAGAAGGAGGGAGCCAGACGTGTAGGCCTAGGCAGTTTGGACTGAAAACAAGTTTTAAGTTTGAAGCTTTGCTTTGATTTAAGGGTATTTGTAACCGTAAGTAAAAGAAAGTACATTTGAATAGTGTTACATTTCCTATCAGTTGATGAGTTCTGCTAGATTTAATAAGAAACATAAGCTTTACGTAGTGTAAATAAAACCCTAGTTTATGAATTTGTGCATTGTCACTTTACCACCTTTATTCATGAAACTCAAATAGTTTTTTATGAGGGCTGCAGGATCTCAGAGGTGAAAGGTACCTTGGAGGACATCTCCAACCTAAATTTAATCATCTTTCCACAGCATTCCTAACAAATTATCATCCAACCTCTACTTGAAAATATACTGTGATAAAGTTTCCCGTTCCCCAAGGCAGCCTCTCCTCCTCTGGACAGCTCTAATTGTTACAGCATTATAGCAGGGTTTTAGTATGGGAGTGGGATCCAAGACAATCCTGTAAAACAGGCAGAATCATGTTATTGTGAGTTAACAAAATGATCTTGTGAGCCTATTATGAGAGAGCCAATCACCAATCAGTTTATGAAATTGGCATTATTGGGGTATTTTACCATAAGGTTTCACTAAGTAAATGAATTTTCATATGCTGAACTGAAATTTGCTTCCATTTGTCTTCTTTCCTCAGGAGACACAAAAAACAAATTTAATTACTCTCATCACATATTCAAATAAATTACATATTGTAGCTTCTTTGGGGTAAACCATTTAAAAAAGGGATTAATCCCTTTTTAGTAATTTCTTGTGAGCAAGGTTCCCTTCCCGGACTTTCTTGCCCTTCTTGGCTAAATCCTTGTTACGCTTCTGGACTCCTTTTACATGTCATTTTCTCAAGAGAGCCCTCCCCAGGGCCAGCCCTGGTGGCCTAGTTGTTAAGTTCAGCATCCTCCGCTTCAGTGGCCTGGGCCTGGGACCAGTTCCCCGGCACAGACCTACACTACTTGTCTGTCAATGGCCGTACTGTGGTGGCAGCTCACATACAAAAAGAGGAAGATTGACAGCAGATGTTAGTTTAGGGCGAATCTTCCTCAGCAAAAAAAAAAAAGCCTTCCATGGCCTCTCACAATCTGGGTTAATTGTACTCTGCTTCAAAAGCCCATTGTGCACAGTTTATGTATGCTTGCAGCTGTGTTAAGCAGCCTGTCTCCCTCTACTGGATCACAAGCTCAAGTAGAACGCCTATGTCAGTGATCCATTGTAAGCACTGAATCAGTGTAAACTGAACTGGACTAAACTCACAATCTTGTTTTCCCTTTAAAAAATACTCGTATTTGCAAAAGGTCATCTTTAAAGTGTGACACCCAGAACAGTGTTCATTTTGGGAGGTGTTGGCCTTACTGAGAGTATGACAGAAATTGTACCATCCTGATTCTGAGGACGATATTCTTTTGTAGTGCTGTCTCAGCTTATTTTAACTATTCTGACATTTGTTCAATTAGACTGCTGACTAGTTAAACTTAAACCCTTAAGTTTTCACACATGATACTCCTAAGCCATACTCCCCATATTCTTGAGTTAATGCAGATGGTTTTGATCCTTACTGTAGGTCCATCCTTCTTGTTCCAAGAAGATAAATTTTATTTCAGTATAGGAAAGAACGAACAATCTCTTTTGAATCTTTTCTGTAGAAGCTGATTATTTTCAGACTTGCTCAGCATGCTTTTTACACTCTCATCCCATTGGTTAGGAGGTAGATTAAATGGGCCGAAGTGCTTAGGTCAACTCCTAGAGTCCTCTCAATTATCAGGGACATATGAATCATTGGTATTTGGCTGCAGTTATGGAAATATTTATAAACCAACCTATTTTATTGACATTCTGCCCCATTTATCTTGTTCACGAGGTTATTGTGAGAAAATATCTGGGCTATAGCTATCATCCTATAAAAATTTGGCATAACTGAAAAGTTCCTTGTCCTTTGTGACTAACACTTCTATTTCATAGTATTGTGGAAACATCCTTTTTTTTTTTTTTTTTTTTTTGAGGAAGATTAGCCCTGAGGTAACATCCGTGCCCATCTTCCTCTACTTTATATGTGGGACGCCTGCCATAGCATGGCTTGACAAGTGGGGCATAGGTCCACACCCTGATCTGAACCAGCGACCCCTGGGCCATTGAACCACAACGTGCAAACTTAATCGCTGCACCACTGCGTCGGCCCGGAAACATCCTTTTAATGATCCGTTCTAGAATCTTGTCCAAGAAGCATACTAAGTTCAGTAGTGTATAGTTTATATCAAGCCTTCATTTAAGCCGAGGGTATCAATGTGGTACCCAGCTCAGACTAATTATGAAGCAGTGGGGATGTTCTATTTTACAGACACGAAACCTGGGGAGACCCAAACAATGATATGCAACTAAACTGTTTCATCAGTATCGTTCTGAACCACGATTAACATTAAGCAGCAATGTTGAACAACTAACAGCTACATCGTAGACTACAGTCATCTTAGCATGGAAACAATTCCAACATTTCAGTATATTAAAGATGTACAGAGGGAGAGAACCACGGTGGGGGGTGGGGGCATTGAGAAGGGAGAAACAGAAGGACTAGAATCTGGCTGATCAGGTAAAAATTTAATTAATTAATTTGAAATAAACTTATGCTGAATTCCAAACCATCATGACAGACTTTGGGGAACAGTAGCTGACAGACCAGCCTGATGCAGCCGTCAGAAATGCATTAACTGTCAAAACAATCTTTGTGGAGGCCATGGCTATAAGAAGCTAAACTGTAATTAATGCTAGACTGTAAAATAACAGCTGCAACAAATCAAAACACAGGTTTTTACCCTGCGTAGTATGGAATGAAGTTAAATTTAAGAATTTTTTAGCCAGAGAGGTCCTACAAGCAATGATAACCCCAGTAGCAACACGCATATCCAGATCCTAGATTTGGTTTTGAACACCATTCTCCAACAAAAGGAACCAGGGCTCCTTGTAGGGGCAGGAAATATACCAGACAGCTCCGAGCATCTTGTAGTGCCAGAAAGTAAAGTTCTAAAAAAAAAGGCCACAATGAAGGGAGTATGTCAAAGGGACAGAGAAGCCAATTGGAAGAGCTCCCGATAGCCAAAGCTGCAACAATTTGATGGAAAAAATATAATAAACTATAAAATAAATATCCATGAGTCCACACTGACATAAACAAATGTTTGAATAAATAAGTGGAGAAGAAACAAATTCTGTTTGGAATTCCAAATAATTTATGTCGAATCTCCACCCCTTGACTGTGAGCTGCTCCCCGCCTAGTCCAGAGCCCGCCCCCAAGATTGTATGAATTCCTGGGAGGCCTTATGTTCTCAGGGCCACATTAGTCTACAGACTTCTTCCATGCCTGATGTGTGCTGCCCCTGTTCCTACAGTCATCCAAGAATGAAATCTGGCCCTTACATCTGTTGATAAAAACAACATGAAAGCAAAACAACCCCGCTTCCATGAAGTATTGAAGAGTTGAGCAGGCTGAAGCTAGACCAAGGGTTTTCCATCACAACAATACAAAGCCTTCAAACGCAACGGCAGATATTGCCATTCTGAGACACCCAGCAGCCCTAGTAACCATTTCCCTGGAGTTTCACCTCCAGCCTGCCCTCACTCTCAGCTGCCTTTCATCTTGTCAGTTCTCTCCTGATCATCCCTTCTCTCCTTTCTCTGCCCTTCTCATCCCCTACTTCCCAGGAGTAAGCCTCCTAGTCCGAGACAGAGCAATTCACCGAGCTCCTTGAATTATCTGGGAATTTCCCCCAAAACAGTAGTTTATGGAGATACTTGCCTTTAGGCTTAAAAAGAATGAAAGAGCTCAAGGGAAGAAGTTCTATGGGTTGGTGACAGAGGTGACAAGATTCCGGAGACAATATGCTGTTCCAGATACGCAATCCTTCTGGAAAGAGCAAGCAGGCCTGCGAACATACTAGATTCATATAATTCCTATAATTTTGAGGTTGATAGGGACCCTAGAATGACGCGCCGTGGGGTCATATCCTCAACGTTCTACAAACTGTGCTTGTGGAACATAGATTTTCAACCAAGTGCTCTTGGAATGTAATCGTATAATAGAGGTTTTCAATGTAAACTTCTGGATACAGCAGCCGGGAGTCAGTTTAACATCAAAAAGAGAAGTCTTTAAAAAAAGTTTTTATAGTTAGTCTCCAGTAGAAAAATGGTGAAACAAGATATTTGAAAATACCACCTGTATATATTTTCTAGAGGCAAAATTGGCAAAGGCGGTCTTTACAAAGGGTGGATGGTACTTTCAAACATCATAAACCCAATGATCCCACCTGAAGTTTCTAATTCAATTTAACAAGAACAAAAACCTCTTCTTGCCGTCACTGTTATTCCAGCTGTGACCATAATGGCTTCTCTTCCACCGATTCAGTTGACATTGAAAATCTCTAAACTCTGCTCATCTGTCCTGGTTCAAGAATATATTAATCTGGCTGATTCAGAAAATACTTAAACCCACGGAATCACTCGGGGGAAGAGTGCTAAAAAAATCAATTTATTTCAAAGTCCGAATCCTGATGTCCACAGCGAGGTTTCCGAAGGCAACTCATTGCCGTTTCCTTCGGAGAATTAAGCTCCGTGAGACGCGCCTCTTTATTCTATGTCCGTCCATAGAAAGCGCCCAATTGAGAAAAGAGGAAGATTGAAATAAACGAGCGCGCTCGGAAGGGGAGAGCCGGTCCCGGCCGGGGCGAGTCGCCCGGGCAGCGCAAGGCGGGGGCGACAGCCGTCAGCCCGCAGAGGGGCGGGCGAGCGGCGGCGGGCGGGAGGCGGGAGGCGGCAAGCGGCAAGCGGCGCGCTCGCTCCCGGCCGCCGGGCGGGCAGAAGCCCCCAGTCTCCGGCCCCCGCGCAAGCGACGCCGGGAAATGCCCACATCCGGGAAACCTGCCGCCGAGTGCGGCGGCGGCGACACCGAGTGGAGGCAAAATGGCGGCGGCGGCGGCGGCGGGCTGGTGCTAGGGGGAGAGCCAGGTCCCCGCGACCCCCGCGACGGGCCGCGCTGGCCCGCGGCAGCCCCCCGGCGTCTCTCCCCGCCCTGCCCCACCGGGGACACTCGGGGTGCCTGGGACGGGCTCCAGCGCCTCGGCGCCCGCCCTCGGGCCCGTGACCGCTGTCCAGGAGCCCCGCTCTCCCATGCAGGTAGGTCCGGGGCCGGCGTAGCGGGTGGGGCGCACTGTCTCCTCCGAGCCCGAGTCGGCGGGGCTGTGGCCGCCGGGCCCACGCCCATCCCGGCTGGCGGGGGTCCAGGGGCTGCCGCGGGCCGGCGAGCGGGCCGGCCCGGTGCGGGCCTCACTTGGCTGGTTGCATGGACCCGAGCGGAGCCCTGCCCTGGGGAAGCGAGGGTTGGCCGCGCCCGGGGCGGGGGGAAGAGCCCCAGGCTTTGCGGCCTTGGGGGTGCAGGTTAGGCTGGGAAGAGGCTGCCCGGCTGGAGGCCTTGCGCGGACTGTCTCCCTCCCACCTCCACCCCGATCCCCTGCATGCGCGGGACCACGGTGTTTAGGAAGGCAGGCAAGCGAGAGTGGTTCTGAAGGAAAACTGCAGTGAAAGAGCCGCAGTTCTTTGCATCCCAGGGGGGACCCGATCCTGGATAGAGCTTGAAGAAATCCTGGGAATTTTTGTTTCCAGTCCACTGTAATGTTAGGTTACGGTGCGTCGTTGGAAGGGGTGGGAGAGATGGCATCTTGATGGAGTAGGAGTGTGTATATAAATACAGAAAATGAAAGAAAGGAAATGAAAGGAACACTGTATGTTATAACCTCAAGAAGAGTTTGTCTCGCAAAGAATGACTCCCAGGTGGGATTAAATGACTTGATTTAACCCCATTCTCTGCCTTCTCCAATTGAAAATTATTTTCTAAGGGAACGAAGTTTGATGTTTGTCGACTCATGTTAATATGACTTAAAATATATATCATCGTGTAGAAGTTATTCGTAAATCTATGGAGAAATACTATAGTTTTCCACACAAATAGTGTTGTATCACTCCAGTTTTGGAAATGGGTTTGAATGTCTGGGATCATGAAACTTCTCAGGTCTTTATGGGTTATTTATTGAAGATTAAAAATTTTTATCAGAATCCTCCGTGGGGAAGAAAATGTAGGACATTATAATTGGAATGAATGTTCTCTGCTAAGATACCTACATTTGAGGTTATTTCTTTCATTTAATAAATTGACAGACAGGTAAAATGGGCTAGTTGATTCCCTAAGGCAGTGAGGAATTTGACTGATTTACCAGTAAAAGAAGTAGCATTGTGTTCTCTAATCGGCTGCTACTGCAAGAAACTGGATCATGGCACCCGCTGGAGAAGGTGCATTCTTTCTGCTCCTGAACGTTTGTTGAATATTCCTTGCCACTTTGCAAAAGCAGATAAAAAATACTTCTGCTACATTTTTTTGGTACGGTCTGGATTTCCTTCTGTAGGTTGAGTTTTTATTTTTATTTTTAATGCTAGTCCTTGTTATTGTATATAAATATAGCCTTGGAACAGTTCCAGATCTGGTTATTTAGTTTTTATTCAAGATGTTATGTTTAGATTAGTGGGAGATTTTTGTAGACGGAAAGAGTTATTTAGTTGTTGAACAAATTTTTATCAGGTAGAAATGGCAGTCATTTTTCAGCATGAAGATAAAATATAGTGATTGTCTTCACTTTCGGTCAATTAATTCTTAGTGAATTGAAGACAATGTCATCAGTATGCAGAGATTCTTGAATATTGCTGTCTAAACAACTAAGACTGTGCTGCTAAGAAAGACACCAGATGTATTGCTTTTGCTATTCTCCTAGCTGATTGAGTCAAAGCATTGAGACAGTCCGTCTTTTTTATAAACCTACTTCAACCCAAGGGAACACACTGAAATCTTATGTAGCGGTATCTGTTTTTGCCCTAGGATGGACAATATATCAATAGTATTTGTTTGGATTTACTGACATTCGCATGTTTGATGAAGGTCTGAACTTTCAAAGAGATGGAGGTTTTATCTGTTCAGTCTCATCAGTTTGTGTCCCTTCAAAGAGTGAATGAGTCATGATCCCTGCCCTTAGGAGACTCAAGTTGTGGGTATCATGAAAAGAACCCTGGGCTGGTTCAGGATCTGTGAAGTCCATTCCTAGCATGACCGCTAGCTGGCTACATGACCTTAGGAAGCCCACTTCACCTTTCTGAATCCATTACTCCATCTGGAAAAAATATATATATATATTTCTATGTATAAAATCTCTCTCTCTCCAAGACACATTATGCTCTATGAATCTGTGATCTAGTAGAAAAAATAAGTACAAGAATAGGACAAAAACATAAGTTTTATTTGACTATGCAGAGTGCATTTGGAGTTCAGAGGAGAAGGATAACAACTGGCAGTTCATTGAAGGCTCTGTGAAGGAGGCATTTGAATGGTACCTTAAGGGTTGGGTATAATTTCTACAAGAAAAAATATGGTGGGGGCTCTCCCAAGGAGAATAAACAGGATGAGTAAGGACATGAAAGTAGAAAAGCACAAGGTACGTTAGCTGAGAACAAGTAATTTGGCTTGGTTAGAGTATAAGGTACACCGGGGAGAGTCTGGGTAAGGTAGCAGAAAGAAATAAGATAATAACTAGCATTTATTGAGTCAGTTGTTTATTCTAAACATTTGACATGCATTAAACTTATTTAATGCTCAAAACAGCCCTATTAAATGGGACCATTATTGCCTACATTTGAAAATGAAGGAACTGAGGCACAGCTTGGCAAGAGCATGCAGCAAGCTAGGGACAGGGCTGGGATTCACACCCTCCGGCTTGACTCCAGAGGTCTGCCTCTAACCAGTAAGTTAAAGGCATCATTGAGGGATCCGGAGCAGGGAAGTGATGTGATAAGAACTGTTTATTAGGAAGACGAATCTGGCAGCAGTGTAGCATGGGTTAAAGAGGTAAACTGTTGTGTTTTGAAGAGTTCTTTTAAAAATTCTTTTTAGGGGCTGGCCTGGTGGCATAGTGGTCACCTTCACGTGCTCCTCTTCGGCAGCATGGGGTTCATGGGTTTGGATCCCGGACGCAGACCAATACACTGCTCATCAAGCCATGCTGCAGTGCCATCCCACATACAAAATAGAGGAAGACTGGCACAGATGTTAGCGCAGTGACAATCTTCCTCAAGCAAAAAGAGGAAAATTGGCAACAGATGTTAGCTCAGGACCAGTCTTCCTTACCAAAAAAAAAAAATTTTCTCGGGCCAGCCAGGTGGTACAGCAGTTAAGTGTGTACGTTCCACTTCAGCGGCCCCGGGTTCGCTGGTTTGGATCCCGGGTGCAGACGTGGCACCACTTGGCAGGCCATGCTGTGGTGGGCATCCCACATATAAAGTAGAGGAAGATGGGCATGGATATTAGCTCAGGGCCAGTCGTCCTCAAAAAAAAAAATTTTTTCTCTTTACCTATTATTAATTTGAATTTTCATATTAGCAAAGATTACTGAGATTTGTTAATTCCAGTGTTGACCATACCTTGTTGGAGGGATTGTAAGTTAGTAGACCTTTCTGGAAGGCAATCTTGACAGTAAGTATCAGAATTTTAAATATGCATTCTCTTTGACCCAGCAGTTCTACTTCTGGGAATTTATCTTAAGAGAAATGCTCAACAATATGTGCGCAAGAATTTTTATTGTAGTATTTTTATATTAACTAATTTTATATGTACGAAGAATATGGTATGTACATGTCAGCTATGAAGCATAATAAAATGAACATCCATGAACTTACCACCCATCCTCAGAACTAGAATATTACAAAGCAATTGAAATTATCAGTGTTTGAAACATTATTTATATTAGCAAAAAATTGGAAACAACTTAAATGCCTATCAATGGGGGGTAGATAAATTATAGTACATCCGCATGATGTAATTCAGTATATAGTTATTAAAAAAATGAGGTTGAATTGTCTTATTTTCTCACTTCCAAGACACCATTAAGTCTAAAACAAGCCATCTATTTAGTAACAATTTTTCAGGGGAAAGAAAATAAACAGTTTTTATTAACCTTCAGTAGCATACATTTATCCATTCACTTGTATACCATTTTTTTCAGTCACGATAAAGTTTGAACCTCAGCCTATTCACAGTCAGAATCTAGGATTCTTCTGAATTACTTTGGGCTTTAGATAGGTAACACATAACCACATGGTGACATGCTGCTTTTCATAATCCTAACTAATTGTCGTGAACGTCTTTATTGTCTTTATAATTGAGTATATAATTTTGAGGCATACTGAAGAATACTGGGGTTTTGTCTTTCCTTTCTGCTTAAGCTCTTAGTTTTGTTTTTTTCTTAGTTGAGTGAGTTACTGCTGGAAATTAAACAGCTTCTACCGGAGGTAACGCAAAAGGTTTTGTTTTTTTTTTAAAGATTTTATTTTTTTCCTTTTTCTCCCCAAAGCCCCCCGGTACATAGTTGTATATTCTTCGTTGTGAGTCCTTCTAGTTGTGGCATGTGGGACGCTGCCTCAGCGTGGTTTAGATGAGCAGTGCCATGTCCGCGCCCAGGATTTGAACCAACGAAACACTGGGCCGCCTGCAGCGGAGCGCGTGAACTTAACCACTCGGCCACGGGGCCCGCCCCCAACGCAAAAGGTTTTGACAGGTGTTTCATGTCTCAGTGCTTGTACTTCATAAGAGTCTCTCTTACCTTTGAAAATTCTGCGATCTTGCCTAAATTTGGCAATTGTTTATGCCATTAATTACATTGCCTATTGGGTGACAGTTTCTGAGTACATAGTGCTACATCATAGTGGAATCTTTTTGAAGACATTTTGAGCATTAATCAAGGGTCTAGATTCAACCATACGTGGTGCTGCCAATGAAAATAATACAATTGAAGTGACAAGGAAATTTCACTTTTTATTCATGGTCCACTTAGCTGTGTGCTTTGTCTGCTATTCCAGAACTTCTACTTTGGAGCTGGCAAATTTATTTTAATAATGATTTTAAGATATACTCAATTTCAGAAATATTAGGATGTAGAAAAGCATGCATCTTAGAATCAAGAAAACACTGAACTTACTGTCGTGGAAAGACATTCATAGTATTATGTTATTCTTTTGCTAGCATATTAGGCCCTAAGCAACAGTGGCTAGATTCACAGGTCGTGTGGTCCCTATGTCCAGTA